AAATCCTACCCGTGATATCACGGGGTAAATAAGATGCTAAGGATTATTAATAATATTGCAGTTTTTAGATTTTAGAAGTATTTTCTAACGAGGAACACTTTATTATTAGATTAGAATGAATTTCGATATAGATTTAAAAATGACGTAAATAAAGGAACAGATTTACTTACGGAAACATGTTCTTTTCACCTCATATCATTGCGGAATTGGGCGAGGTTTTAATTTGATTTCGTTTTCGTTACAAATGCATCGAAAGCCTCCTGTATTAGATTCTGTATCTATACACAATATCAGATTTTATAATGTAAATTGGTATTGACCAATCGTTGACGACAATATAGAAGTTGAAATGGTCGAAAGGTTGTGTGTATTTTAGATGAAGGTGCGTGTTCAATATGTAAACAAAATAGAAGCATATAAAACTTGAGTTTCTGCTACCTACGTTTATTCCTTTTATGGTGAATATAGCGAAACAAAAGTTCTCAGTGTCTCTTTGGTCCGTTTTCTCCTTCGGTTCAGAAGTAAAATGATCGAATTAGCTTGGCACTGAGATGGAACGACCAATTCACTTACTTCATGAGTAGGTCTGCCAAAACACGCCCAAACGATGTCGTTGGAAAGTGGAAGAGCGTTCATTCGTCAGTGGACCGGGGAAACTAAAATTACCCAGTGGGAACGTAATTACCACGTGGTTCACATCTTGAAGTAAGGAGGAGAAAGAGAGTGTTGCAGGAGATGTCTATCCTGGGAGCCAGGTACCTTTTGTTTGAGAGCCCCTACTCTAAACATAACATATATACAATACTTTGTGCAAGTTTTCACTATCCAATTAACATTTTTCTATGGAGGTGTAACACTTGATTTACAGAACATGCCTAACAAATTGAAGACGCAGCAGATTTCTATTGTGCAAGGAAACAAACGCTTTAACAAAACAAGGAAACAAAACTTTAGCTTGCATAAATATTCATCCCTCCCCCCAGCAAAGTCAATCTTTTTAGACACAACATTTGTTGTAATTGCAGCTACAGCTCTCCTAAAGTATATCTCTATAAACCTCGTACATCTATCCAATGAGGTTTTTGTTCATTCTTCAAGGCAAAACAGCTCGAGTTACTTCATGTTGGATGGGTTCAACTGGCGCATAGCAATCCTCTAGGTCACTGGTTCTCAACCTTTTTTGCAAATGCACCCTTTTCAGCATATGTTAGAATGTCATTTCCATCTTTCCAAGATGATCCGAATCAAAACGTTCATTCAAAATTATTTTTATTTTTTTGTTCGGTCGAGTTAGCTCGGACATTGATGAGTCTATGACACCAACCATCACAGTCCTGCATCAAGGTCGGAAGGTCATTAATGAGGCATTCTGTATAATAACATAGCTGGTCAATATAGGGGGCTGCTGGGTGACCAGTCAGTCTACATTTAACCCTCCGTTAATAGTTTTTTTGTTTTTTGTTTTTTTGTTCGGTCGAGTTAGCTCGGACACTGATGAGTCTATGACGCCAACCATCACAGTCCTGCATACAGGTCGGAAGGTCATTAGGAAGGCATTCTGTGTCATAGCATATCTGGTCAATATAGGGGATTGCTGGGTGACCAACTCATCTTGCTCCATGATTAGATGCCCAGAACAGTAGATCACTCGCATGTTCTGTGTTTTGCTCACCAGAAGTGTCCTGCAACGCGCATACTGCGTTCGTGTAAGATTGTTGAAATATCAGGGATGAGTCCATAGATCTGTGATTAAGTTGGATGATGTCTCCAGGACATGTGTAGAAAAGCTCTCAGCGTCCGAGTGTAATTTCAGTCAAGCTTAGATTGTAGGTTTTTAGCTTTTAGTTAATGTCCAGGCAGTGGAACCATACATTAACACAACAGAGCTTCTTTCGAGCCACTGTAGAGCATTCCAAATAATATGCATATATTATTGAAAATCTTCATTATTTTCCCTATGAGTACATATTTACATGGATTCTTTTATAGAGGAGTTATACACATTTAATAGCAATGAAAAAGGTTAATGGGTTTTTAAACTTCTACACTAATTTATTTTAATTCATAACATTAAATAAACTGAAGCATATTCAATAAACAAAAAGTTCAATAAAAGGTCAAAGTATATAAATCGATTTTATGCTTGTCATACCTGAACGTACCTATTCTATTATTAATAGACTCTCCCACACATAATAAGTAGTAGTAGTAGTAGCGGTCGCCAGTGGGGCTCAGTGGTGTTGAGTGAGCCAGTCGATGTCGGACATTGAAGTATCAACCATCACAACTAGATTGCTGCGTCATTAACTCTTATTTCAAGTTCCTAACGTTTTGTACGTCGAACCTAATTTAGGACGACTTAGTGAAATACAAGCCTCCACTGTGAAAACTACTCTACAACACAATGCTGAAAAGGGGAAAGATACCCCGGAGTTGATAACCCCTTCTCTAAGTTGTACCATAAATATTCAATTGAATTAAGGCTTAACTTTTAACCAGGCCCTTCCAAGAGATTTAAATATTCCTCATTAAAGCACGCGAATGTTGCTTTCGTGGTATGCTTCGGATAATTGTCCTGTTGGAAGCTGAAACACTATCCCAGTATCAAATTTCTGAAACATGTTTTCCTCATTAATTTCCTTATATTTAATGGCATACATCATTCCTTCAATTATAATCAGTTTGCTGGTGGCTATCGATAAGTATAAGAAAAAGAAAACCGACAGTGCGTTTGTCCGGACCCGAAAAAAAAAAGAACATATTAGGAGCTAAATTTTTCTAGAGGAAAATTTCAGCTCGGGGGGAGGTGATGTAATGGAATAACCAGTCACCCCCATGAATGATTACACTATAGGTAGGAAGTACCTGTAAAGTCAACTGTCTACGAGAGACTCTATAGAGAAGTGAGCGAGAAGACGCAAGCAACTTCGACCTTCCAATTAGTGGCACTCACTACTAGATTGACCTATGTGTATAACTGTACCGTATTTCATATTGTACTTGTGTACAATTAACCTTTCTTCTAGTATCCACCTGGTGTTATGCGTTTATTCCCTTAGCACGGAATATAACACATACTCACACTATAATACTAACACCGCCCTGAAGATAAAAAAGTGTTTTCATTAATGGTCAATAAAATTTTAGTCTTCGTCTGTTTAGGATACTTTTTTCCCAATTTGTTGCGGAATCAATTATGTGTCTTTTTGTGAACTCCAAAGATTTTTTTTTTAGCAATGGCTTTTTTGTGACCACTCTTGATATAACCTCTATTGATTGTACTGTTTAAAACGTTTCTATCGAGAGCCATTCCAATTTCTGTTAATGGAGCATTTCCGGCTCTACCAGGGTTATTATTGATCTCTTTGTTGCTTCTCTTCTTAATTTCCTTAACATTTGGTTCGCAGACGTCTCCTTAAAAGTTTGTGTTACTTATATAGCATTTCCAAGAGTAAGTAGATGTGGCTTAATGATTAGCCAGTTTATTCTCACTAGATTAGTGACGATTGAGTTGTGTGTTCGATCTTTACTGAGTGTTCCATTTTTTTTTTACCTTTATCCACGCCCAAGCTACGTTTAATAAATCGTGATATATTATTTCCATTTTGTAATGATGTATTTCACGTGGTTCCCTGGTATGAGGTTTTTTATAACTTAACCATGATCTGTTCTTGACAATTTTGTTTTGATTTTTCATGGTGCCACTTGCTTAGTGAAGCCTTTTCAGCATATGTACTGAGGTCATGTGACAAATCATAGGACTCCTAAATTGTTTTTTTTTTTTTAACCATTTCACCTCAAATAAGACTATAAAGCTACTAAGATGTTACTGAGAGAATGTGAGAAAAAGGAACGGCTCACAGAAATTAAGCAACATACATATATATGAGCCGGATCAGTACTTAGATGGGTGACCGCTTGGGAATACCAGATGCTATATGCTTGGGTGTGCGTGTGGTGTAATGCATAATAGATCGGAATTGTTAATCAGAGAGTCGAGTTCCAGTTCCACTTATATTCACTTATGCTCAAATACCATTGGGATAGGTATAAATCCCCCACTTCTCACTCCCCATCTATGGGTTAATTAATAAGACTTTTATCACTAAATCATTATTATTTCCAAAGAAATTCTTACAATCTAAAAATATTTTTTGGCTTTAAATAGCCTACAAAAGGTTGATAAGCCGTAAAAACGAATCAATCAGAAATAAAAAGCATTATTAAAGAGAAAGGACAATAAAAGAACAAGAATTAAGAAGACAGAAGAAAACGGTTGACATTGCATTTAAATTTTGAAGATCAAAATTGGAAAGCAAGAAACCGGAAGAGACTACCACAAGCGAGAAGTGCGAGAAAAAAACTGTTAGCATACACTTCTTTTATGTGTCGGTCCTTTCAAATGCAAACAATCATGGCTCTCCCCAACGTCCTGTTTTTGTTGCTATAAATAGCTTTTTAACCCTTTACCACCCGTCTTTATCCTTGTTCTCTCATCCATTCACACAAACTCGTTAATTCGGTTCCTCGCTGTTTCCCACCTGTTTTTTTTTTGGTTTTTTTTTTTGCCATCAGTATATCCCGTGGGTGTTCAATTCTCCAAGCCTTCTTTCCTCATTATATGTACCTGAAATTTCAACTGTCTCTTTCTGATTGTTAGCAGCAGTTTCCATGTCGTTCCTATCTTTCTTTCAACTTTTCGTCATTACTCATATTTTTCGTCTATAGATTCTCATTCTCAGCATTCGTCCAAAGAATGACATCTTCACCCGCGCTTCAAATCTTTTCTTCATCGGCGTGGAAATTGCCAAACATTCACTGCCATGGAATAGATTAGATATTACATGTCAATCTTTGGATATTCTTAAAACTTTTTCACAAAACAAATGTTCTTTTTTTTACTTTTAGATTTAATAATACATGAATATATGCAATGGGAAAATCCTCACCCTGAAAACGTCTCTGGAAAAAAGAGCTTATCAGAGGTGAGTGTTTATTTTTAGTTTCTTTGATGACAAATTAAAAATATTTTTTTAAGTAAGCGTACCTACGCATTAATTTTTTATACTAAAATAAGTTACATCGATATTTAAATAAGTTCGCCTTTTAGATGGGTACGTTTTTTTTTTTTTTTATTAAAGCTACCCTTGGGTAAGGTATGAATCCTCTTTTTCTCCTCTCAGCTATGGGTAAATAGCAGGACAGACTACGTTCTATCGCCTTGGCAACCGGTCTAGGAGAAGGAAAACTCTGAATTCAAAACCGGCCTGGAGATGGGTTGAGCTCCATCAGGCTATCTTGCCTAAAAAACACCACATCTACTGTGGCTGAAGTACACATGGTGCCCCTACGACCCTACGGGCCACGGGATAAAAACGTACCTATGTAAAAGTCGAACTTATTTAAATATCGATGTTTCTTATTTTGGTAAAAAAATTAATGTCTTAAAAAACCACGTGTAAAAATCGCTGTTTTTTTTTTTTAATTGATTGATTCATTCTTTCTTTCCTTTTTCTTTCTATTTTCTTTCTTTTTTTTCTTATTCACATGTATACCTTCTCTTTTAAGCCAACTTCTTTCTTTTCTGTTTCGATTATTTCATTTTTCAGCCTCCCTCTTCCTTTCTCTCGTTCTTTCTTTTTTCATTCTTTCTTATTTACCAGTATTTTTTCATTTTCCCTCTTTATTTCATTCTTATTCACAGTATTTCTTCTCTTTTCTTTCACCTTTCTTTCTTTCATATTTACGTGTATTTCTTTCTTCAGTCTTCATCTTCCTTTCTTTCTTTCTTATTTACGTGTATTTCTTTTTCAACCTTTTTCTTTCTTTCTTTCTTTCTTTCTTTCTTTCTTTTATAAATAATCCCAGACTACGATGAGAACATAAAACCTATTCCTGAGTGAAGACATGCTTTTTTTGATATTGTTTAGCTGTTGCATGATTTGTTTGTTCTTTGTTTTTTAATATTATTGTTCCCCAATAAAAGACCCACTCAAAAGATAAGGTTACTGAATGATGTTGTAAATGCAGAAAAGGAGAAGGTAAGAAGTGCACATTATGAAGATATTAGAATAAATAAGGATTAACCGTAATCTTTAGGAAGTTAAGATTATACTGCTCGGGGGAGCATTCTGTCGGGGGGGGGCATCCTGTCGGGGGGGCATCCTGTCGGGGGGACATCCTGTCGGCGGAGCATCCTCTATGTGGTTGTTTATTTTAATATAACAGCTTAAAATTATAATTAAGGTAGAGAGTTACCTTATACCCAAAGGAAGAGGAAGCTCCAACGAAGTAAAACACACAATAAACTATTTCTGATGGGCCTTTAGCAGTAGTTTCAAGATCTGGCAAAGGTTTGTTTTCCTTTCCTTCTCTCTCACCATTTTATTTTAAACATTTATTTGAAGAAAACTAGACCTAAACCATAGCCAATGTCCAGAGCATTTCTGAAATATACACTTAACGGGTAAGCTATGGAAGAAAGTGAATATTCATTATTTACATTATTCGGACTATTGTCCTCATCTTTATCACCATATTTATTACAACGTTTCGGCCGTTGTACGCTCCGGCCTTCTTCAGGTGGTTGGAATGTCGAACTGAACTCTTTATTTCGCTCACTGGGGTAGACTGTTCTAGTTCCACGTGCCATGTTAAATTGATGTCAGTTATCAGTTATCTTCTGTTAATTTCCCTCTGAAAGTTCTCCACTGCCTTAACCGGGTATTGAACTCACACTCTTTGGACACATGGCACAGTGGATAACGGCGTTGGTTAGATCCAGTGACAGGACCCAAAGATTCTGAGTTCAATACCCGGTTAAGGCAGTGGAAAACTTTCAGAGGGAAATTAACAGGAGATAACTGATAACTGACATCCATTAAACATGGCACGTGGAACTAGAACAGTCTATCCCAGTGAGCGAAATAAAGGGTTCAGTTCGACATTCCAACCACCTGAAGAAGGCCGGAGCGTACAACGCCGAAACGTTGTAATAAATATGGCGACAAAGATGAGGACAATAGCCCGAATAATGTAAATAATGTACATAATACCTCATCTCAGAAATATAGACTGATACTAAAGTGAATATTCACCAATTATTGGCATTATTATAGCCATGATATAATAAGACCTTATTTCATGCTTGAGGTGAAATGATTTTTTAAAAATTCAAATAAACTAATATTTACAATTAGAAGGAGACAGCTGAAATGTCTGGGACACATTATGAGGAAAGAAGCTCTGAAGAATTTAAAACTCACAGGATATACTAATGGCGAGAACAAGCGCGTAGCCTACTTAATGAGTTTGGGTGAATGAATGATAAAACATGAACAAAAGGAGGTAATATATGGGTTAAACATCATATAGATCAACAAAAGACAAGACCTTCCTGGGTATGACGATAAACTACATCCGCGTCCTGGGTAAGACGAAAAACTACATCCGCGTCCTGGGTATGACGATAAACTACATCCGCGTCCTGGGTATGACGATAAACTATATCCGACAGCAAGGCCTTTGATCAGAAGGTTTTGAGAAGCTTAGAACCACCTCTTAATTGCTCGTGTTACCAGGTTCACCCTAACTCGGGGTGGTAGCATCTGTTAGGGTCACAGCTATTGGCAAATAGTTACCATCAAACTGGGGTGAAAACAATATGAAAGTGTAAAAATAGGTTTTAAAACCAGCAATACATTTTTGTAAAAAAATATTACCAGCAATACATTATTACCAGTAATACATTTTTGAAAAATAAAAAAATATAAAAATATTACCAGCAATACATTTTTGAAAAAAATATTACCAGCAATACATTTTTTAAAAGAAAAAAAAATACGGGCAATACATTTTTGAAGAAAAAAAACTTACCGGCAATACATTTTTGAAGAAAAAAATATCACCAGCAATACATTATTGAACAAAAATATTACCATCAATAAAAATCTTGTCGGTATTAAATAACCTATTGAGGTTGATATGCCATAAAAGAAAACAAACCAAACCAAAAGACAGGAAATCGTGGAGAGCCATGATCTCCCACATCCTGAAATTATATGGCAAATATAATAAAAAGCAATGAGTGAGCTGACCTATTTGGTAAAGTGATGTTTTGCAAAAGAAAACCCTGTACGAGATGTGAGGATTGGATGGCAAAAGTATCAAATTTGAAATCTAAATTATTTAACCATTTAAAATATTATATTTATTAGAAAATATATTCAGTTTAAATACAGGAGCCATAAAAATGACTTCACAGGGGGGCGGCATTCTTTTCCTGTTACCCAGACTTTTGCCCTCGTGACACAAAATATCCATTTCAATTTTATTCAAATTGTGCGTTCACTGTGTATGGATATTTAATTGTGCGCTTTTATAAGTTTAAGTCAGTAAGCAACCTGCAAATTTTTCTACAAAATTAAAAAAAAAAGAAATTTTATAAACTTTGTTGTCTCCAATTGTATAATTTTATTGCTCAGCTCAGACTAGGGGTTGTGCAATGTCTTATTTCCAACTCAGTCAAACTGTGTGTGTTGAGTGTGGGGTCGTGTGTATGTGTTTGTATGTGTATACATCTATCTGCCTCAGATCTGGTCTGCTGCTTTTTTGTTCTTTTGCTTAAATAATTTCACCCCATGTAAAGCAATAAAGCCACTAAGATACAACGGATAACTGAGTGTGAGAGAATGAGAAAAATATTGAGAGAGTACAGAAATTAAGAAGATTAATAATTGGCATTGCATTTAAATTTTTGAAGATCAAATTTGAATGGAAAGCAAGAAGTCAGGAGACAGTTCAACAATCGCGAAGTGCGAGAAAGATTAGTTTGGTTTGTTTTGTTTTATGGCATATCAACCTCAATGGGTTATTTAATGCCAACAAGATTTTTACAATAGATTTGTATAAATAGAATATGTATTCTTTGTAAGATATCCATTTGTAAATCAGGTTTCATTGATGTATTTTTGTAAAGAGGGTTTTTGTTGACAGTCTGGGTTTCATTGATGCATTCTTTTCAGATATGCAGTTTGTAGAAAAATTGATCTTATTGACATTCCAATTTGGTTTATATTTTTTGGTATAGGCCCACTGTTTTAAGAAATGATATTATGTCATCTACTTTTGTTTTCTCAGACATCTCATACATGTTGTTTATATCATAGCATTTTCATCTTGAGAGAGCAAGGTCTGTACACTCAATTTATAAATTTTTGATAATGTATGTCATTACATATACTTGGCATACTGATTGATCTTTATTGTTTAGCAAGTACCAGTGGGTTATTATATGGCCAATGCGTAAGCAGGCCATGACTACTTCATTTCGAGATTTTCTGAAAGCTGACTTCCATTCCCCTAGTTTGGGTGGAACTGCAAAGAGTTTATTGAGTGTGTTATTGTCCCAGCACCATTGCCATTCCTTTTGAATATATTTGTTAATGACCTCCTTAAAGTCAGTTTATAGGATTTTGATCCTTGTGTCTACATCCATATCTAAAGCTGATTTGGCTGTTATGTCTGCTTTATTATTACCTTCCACTCCAATGTGGCTAGGAATCCAACATAGTTTGATATCTTTAGGTTTGCAAATAGTGCTGCTCATTTTACATAATAGTTTGATAATGAGTGAGTTGTTGAATTTTTTTTACTTCAAAGACATTAGGACAAATAGTGAGTCTGAAAAAATTTAAAAAATTTTTTGTTTACTGTGTAATGATATTGAGAGCTTAGCTCTATTGCATTAGCCTCTGCAGTGAAAATAGAAGTTCCCTTTGGGAGGTGTTTTTTTAATATTTTATTTTAATATTTTGACTCGCTGTTGCAGATCCTATCTTGTCCTCAAACTTTGGGTGTATAGTTAGAGTGGTTTTCCAATATGCCCTGAAACTCGTCCTGGAATGTTAGTGGTTGTTTAGAGAGTTCTAACAAGAATTCAGTTTGCTTGATTGTCACCAGTGGAATACTGGCTGTAATCATTTCT